ATGGCGGTGATTTCTGATAGGCCATGACAGGGTCATTGATAAGAGACCTCACTGATTATATACAAGGAACTGCATGAATGGCTAATCTAAAAACTGTTCTCTTTCATCATCTCGTGTTCGAGATCCACCTATGGGAAGGGCATCCGTACCTGACCTCTGCAGAAGCATCCAATTGCACCAAGTCTGGCTAGACAGACAGAAGCGCGCAGCCAATGCCAGGTAAGGCCCCACCCCCTTACCTGAGAGCATATAAGGCCTGCACGCGACGCTATTCTCCAGTTGTCATTCGCTTCTCGCGATCTCTGCACTTCACAGCTCGGGTTGGATTTATCACTGCTCACTTTTCGTGTCTTCAGGAGGACATATCGTCAAGATCAGCCTCCGCCAGATGCGACAGTCTTTTATTCAGCCCAGAAAAAGCTGTTTTTGCATCCTGAGCCGCCCACGCTCTGTGATTATTTTCACCTGTTCCCCTTTTCCATGGCTGCCCGCCGCTGATTTTACTCAGTTTTTCGCCGGCATGTCGCTCTCTAAACCTACTTCTCTCGGGGGCTGCACATCACGGGCCTGCCCGGCCGCGTGTGGCGCGCTGATCGCCGCTAAGGATCCGCACCCCTTCTGCGTGGTCTGCTTGGGCCTCAAGCATGCTGAAGAGGCTTTGGAGAACACGGAAAACTGCAGCCATTGCCTCACGTTGCCTAAAAAGCTCCTTCGGCGCCGTCTCAAAGTTGCCGCGACCCAGTGCGTCGAGCTCGGCCTTTCGGACTCGGATGGGGGACACGGTGATGACGACGCGCTACCGGGGGCCTCCCGGGGCCTTCAAGTTATGCCTTCCTAGGAAGGCGGTCACACGCCAGGTGCCCCCTGTGCGTTTGCCTAACCCTCCTGTCACGGGACGAAATTTCCATCACCCCCGCATTTCAACGGCGTTCTTTCCTCTCGCACGGAGGAGAGCGCTGCTCACATTTTGAGGAAATCTCTTCCCTTCTATTAAAGGGAGCGATTCAGGTGGTGCCCCCCAATCTGATAAATCAAGGATTTTATTCTCGTTATTTCCTGGTTCCAAAGAAGGACGGTTCTCTCCGCCCCATTTTGGACCTAAGAGTGTTGAACAAACATTTGAGGAAATACAATTTCAGAATGTTAACCCACGGCACTCTGACCCGCGCCATAAAACAGAACGACTGGTTCACATCGGTCGATCTGAAAGATGCTTTTTTCCACATAAGCATTTATCTGCCACACAGGAAGTTTCTTCGTTTCGCCTATCAAGGCATATGTTACGAATTCACAGTCCTCCCGTTTGGGCTTGCCCTAAGCCCAAGGACTTTTTCTCTCTGTGTGGAGGCAGGCTTAGCTCCCCTGAGAATGTCAGGTCTGTGGATTTTGACATACTTGGACGATTGGCTCATCATAGCCGAATCGAAGATGAAAGTACTGCAGGACACCCGTCGTGTGCTCACTCACATCACATCTCTCGGGTTCAGGGTGAATTTGAACAAAAGCAACCTTACACCCAGTCAGAGTGTGATTTTCCTGGGCTTGGAGCTGAGCTCAGTCTCCATGCGAGCGCGTCTCTCTCAAGAGCGCGTTCGCTCTCTAATGAACTGTGTGTCACAGTTCAGAGAGGGAGCGAAAGTGCAATATCGCACATGTCTCAGACTGCAGGGTCTAATGGCTTCATCTATCCAGGTTTTGCCTCTGGGACTTCTGAGAATGAGGGCGTTCATGGAATGGGTTTTGTCACTACATTTCTCTGTGCCACTGGAGAAGCGCGGGCTTTTACGCACAGGGAACCCCTTTGGGGATGGTGATGTTGCGGAAAGTCGTGACGACAGATGCGTCCCTAACAGGCTGGGGTGCCACCCAGGAGGGCAGAACGGTGAACGGTTTGTGGCCGAGCAGACTACGTTCAGCGCACATAAATTATTTAGAGCTTATGACCATATGGAAAGCTCTGAATTATTTTCTGCCTCGCCTGCAGGGGCATCATGTGCTCGTACGCTGCGACCATACCACAACGGTAGCATATATCAATCGCCAGGGCGGTTTGCGTTCATCGAAACTTCACGCTCTAGCTCACAAGCTTTTAGTGTGGAGCAGGTGGTTTTTCCTGTCGTTACGCGCGACTCATATTCCAGGCATTCTGAACAGAGGCGCAGACCTTCTATCGAGGGGGAATCCACTCTACGGAGATTGGGGCCTCCACCCTCAGATAGTGGGCTTGATATGGATGAGATTCGGACAGGCAGCCGTAGATCGATTCGCCTCTCGCGAAAACAGCCATTGTCCTATGTTCTTCTCGCTAAAGGACGTGGACGCACCCCTCGGGGTCGACGCACTGGCCCACCCATGGCCCAAAGTGCTGCTGTATGCTTTTCCTCCCCTGTGCCTGATAACTCCAACACTGGCCAGGGTGAGAGAGAAGGGCCTGTCTCTCATTCTGATAGCACCCAGGTGGCCCAAAGCACCTTGGCTGGCAGAGATAATTCCTCTGTTATATGCCCAGCCATAGCACCTCCCCCTACGCACAGATCTATTATCTCAAGTGAACGGGGAGATTTATCACCCACACCCGGACAGGGTGGCTCTCTGGGCCTGGCCCGTGAGAGGACAAACTTAAACGCGCTAGGGCTTCCCCCGCGTGTGGTTGCTACTATACAGAATGCCAGGGCCGTGTCTACTCGGTCCTTATATGGCTGTAAGTGGCAGGTGTTTGAAGGGTGGTGTGATGGGCGTCGTGTCACATCATATCAGTGCTCAGTTCCTGATATTTTGTGTTTTTTACAAGACCTTATGGATAAAGGCAGGTCTTTTTCTACCATTAAGGTCTACCTGGCAGCTATTTCTGCTTGTCATGTGGGCTTTGAGGGCTCAACGGTCGGCCAGCATCGTCTAATCCGCAGATTTATGAATGGTGTCAGGCACCGCCCCCTTGGGGTGACCGTCCTTCTCTGGTTTACAGAACCTCACTGTGAGTGTATTGGGCAATCGGGGAGCTGTCCATGTCTCTCCCATAGGTGGATCTCGAACACGAGATGATGAAAGAGAGCAATAGGTTACTGTCGTAACCCCGGTTCTCTGAAACATCGAGTGGAGAGATCCACCAGCTTTGCCCCGCTTGCCGCACGAGAAGAGAATAGCTGGAGAATATACTGGAGAATAGCGTCACGTGCAGGCCTTATATGCTCTCAGGTAAGCGCATGGGGCCTTACCTGGCATTGGCTGCGCGCTTCTGTCTGTCTAGCCAGACTTGGTGCAATTGCATGCTTCTGCAGAGGTCAGGTACGGATGCCCTTCCCATAGGTAGATCTCTCCACTCGATGTTTCAGAGAACCGGGGTTACGACAGTAACCTATTGTTTATCTTTCTCTCGCTGTTTTCCAGCATGACTCTCAGTCAGGGCTGGGTGTATTAGCTTAAACGTGTATAAATATAACCAAATTAGAGTGATGATGCAAATGATTCAGTGAATCAAAGTTTTGCATTAGTTAAGCAAAACAGATTGAATTGATTAAAAAAATGAATCAAGTAGATTGCATGCAGTGTTTCTAGGCTATATAGAAATGTTATTCATTTAGTTTTATATTTCCTGCCCATTTCTGTCTGAATTCATGTTAAGATGTATGATAACTGGTCATCATTAGTCAGGGTGGTCTATTTTAAACTTTAAAGGGATAGTTCACCCAAAAATGGGCATTCTGCCATCATTTACCTCACCCTCATGTTGTTCCAAACCTTATGACTTTCTTCTGTGGACAAAAGTCATTAAAGCCAATATAAAACCAAAATTGACCCCATATAGTCTCTTGATACATTTTTCTAGTCTTATTGAACAATCCTTTGGATATTATTATTCCCAGTAAGAAAATCATCTCTGGAAAAAAAACTTTCCTTCTTAGATGATGTCACTAAGCACTCCTGTTTTTCAACTAGTCCCATCCCAAACACTTATCCAACTTTTCATGATCCAGTCAATTCCTTATGAATCATGTTTTTTTTTTTTAGCTCTTTCAATATTTTTTCACTTGTTTTTCACAACATTTTTTCACAGAAATACTTGTTTTTACTCATCTCATCAGGCTTGGAATGCCATTTCTCGTTGACTTTAAAAGCCACAAATATGCTAAATGGAACATCATTTACTTACCCTCATGTCATTCCAAACCTTTGTTACTTTCTTTTTTCTGTGGAACATAGAAGGTATTTTGAAGAATGCTGGTAACAAAAAAAAAAAATACAGTGAAAATCAATGGGAACTGTAAATGTTGGTTTGTTACCAACATTTTTCAAAACATCATCTTCTATTTTCCACAGAAGAAAGAAAGTCATACAGATTTGGAATGATACAAAAGTGAATAAATGATGACACAATTTTCATTGTTGTGTGGACAATGCCTTGAATAACTTTGTGGGTTTACTTTTTGAAGGACGAACATACAATTGAAAGATTAGCTTCTTTTGGATTTGCTATAGTAGGGGTGAATGTTTCATGTGAAACCTCACTTGTTTAGTTTATAATCACTTGCTTTTCTTCCTTTTAGTTACAAGACTAATTATCTTTTCATTGTGTTTTTACGCATAGTTTGAGATGCACTGTGGAAGGTACACGAGAAATTTGAGTTATGAAACTCAGATTAGTCAGGTATTTTCCTTTCAAAGACTCAATGTAAACACAGTTATTAGGTTTGACAGTGTTTCCTGGAAATACAGTAATTTTAATCTAAAATGCTTTTATCTTGAGTGGCCAGAGTGTTTGTCCTTAGAGAACCGCAGTATTCTCCGTTAAATAAATTAAACAATTCACTGATTCATTCATGGCTTGAGGGGCACTGCACCAAAGGCTTATAATGGGATTTTATTGCCTAAATCATAAACAGTTACATTGAAAATGCAAATGCAAAGACACTGCCACTAGAAAAGACTTTCCAGTAGGTTTTGTTATGTCTTTGCGCCCATTTAGTGTTTGACCCTTATATAATATTTCTGTTTCTCTACAGGGAGTCCCTCCAAAGCTGTGTCCACCATGTCCCTTTCTGTGCGCCCCACGCGGAGGGTCGTTGCCAGATCCATCACTAGGAGCCAGTCCTTCGCGGGAGTCAACTCCTACGATAAGTCTTACAGGTCAGTGTTAAAACAATCAGCAACAGAAGCGGTGCTCTCGAGCGTGCATTAGGGATGGGTGATATATCAAATATTCATGATATATTGATGATTTTAATGTCTATTACCCTAGCCCAGGGGTAGGCAAGTTCGGTCCTAGAGAGCCGCAGTCCTGCAGAGTTCAGCTCCAACCCTAATCAAACACACCTGAACAAGCTAATCAATGTCTTCAGGATTACTAAGGCTATAGGCAGGTGAGTTTTTTTTCAGGGTTGGAGCTGAACTCTGCAGGACTGCGGCTCTCTAGGACCGAACTTGCCTACCCCTGCCCTAGCCCAAAACACAATAGGTTAACTTGGAGCAAGCGCGCACAATGTATAGCATTAGCCTTTTCAATTATGACCAAAGGCATTAAACATCTTTAAAGGGAAGTCCCAGCTGACAGTGCGTCCTGTGGAATCAGCATACATTTCCTAATGGCTGCAGGGAGCAGGAAAGCATGGATGTTTATTATTGACTACAAAAAGGCTTCGCTCTAACAAAACGGGACAAATTTTCATGAATATCTGTGTTGATCTTGTAGCCAGTAATTTTTGTACATGCCACACAGACTTGACTTGGTTGAATAATTTTCTCTTTTTTTATCTATTGAATAAATAAGCATTGTTTTCGTTCAAATGTATGTGTGATGTGTTTTAAAGGTAAGTATTTGGCATCATGTTAATTTTTTAGAGGGGCTGAGTGGCTCTTGAGCACTGACCCTTGCGGTTGATGTAGTTTGATTCAAAAGCGTGTAGAGTTCTCTTCAAACCCTTGCTGTTGAAATAGAGCAGACAGAGAAAGCATGAAAGATTTAAGAAGGCCACTATCAGGACAACAGGGAGGAGCGCTGAACAAGAGATTCTGAAAGAATGAACGGGAGGATGAAAGATAGACACACGAATATGAATTCAGAGTAATATGGGTTAAAAATATAAAATAAAGAATAATAATTGGGTAAATGACTGATTTCCCCATCATTCCCATATTTTCTGTGTTCTTATTAGTATTATGTCTTATTCTGTATATTTCAAAAGCTTTGTTTAGTTCCTTTTGTTATTGTGACTTGCTTTACTGTTATATTTACCTGCAGATCCTGAGCTGTTCTCTGCTATTTTTCCTCATACGGCTTTACAGGAAAAGATTGTGTCAAGACGCATCAGTGTTTCTCTCCAGTTTATTGAGTTGTCTGTCATCTTGGAGAAGTAATTGCAGCTTGAATCGATCAGCACGAGTGTTGTTCTAAAGCGCTATTGATTTAGATAAGAGATTGTTTCCCTGGCTCACTGAAATACTTTTTGCATTCAAACCCCTCATCTTCCATTGGTTGAAAAAACAGGTGGTCCTATTGTAAACGAAATGATTACTCATAGTTCAGGGTAGGGTTGTGCCAATAGACCGATAGTATCGTGTATCGATGATAGTCAGAGATATCGCCTGTTGCTGATGCCTTTGACGATAACAAGACTATTATTATTATTATTATTATTATTATCAGGCTAGTAATACTATCTAATTAATATTAGGGTTTATTTGTTCCATCATATTTATTTTTCATAAAACAATTTTTAGTAAGTGTAGCGATGTAAGAATAAGAGATTTATTCATCATACAGTGTAGATTGCTTCACTGATTATAACGAGAGTGTTTTTTAAAGTGCATAAACTCGTGCTAGGCTGAAGTCATGTTCTTTTTGATAATGTAAATGTTCTTTGATCATTTTCTGTAGCTGCTGTTTGAATAACGGAGGAAATGTAAGCATTATAATTAGTAAATGCAAATTCAGTCATATTAAAAATACTTCATGACATGATATTTTCTAACATTAGGCTGCTTTTTGCCTTACCCCGCAGTTGGTCCACTCTCCGGCTATGAGAGAGTGAGTAAAGTAAATAAATAAATATGTTAGCACGATAATATCTCACAGGCGATCTCACAGGCTGATGATATGATTATATAGCATATCACCCAACATTAGTTCAGGGATCAATCATAAGGATGATGAGAGGGTTTCTGGCCGGTTAATGGGAATGTCACTTGCCTTACAGGTCTTTTTCTGCATTGTCACAAAATCTTTTGCCAAAATTTATGCCATGCAGACTCAAATGTTTGGTTTCCTGTTATGTTTTCAACATTATAGTTGTGAATTCTGCTGATTTAAATATGAGAAAATAAGGTAACATAAGGTAAAATAAGAATAGCTTTTACTATAAATTCCAGTTGTTATTAATATATTATTTTAATTAATGTATTCCTCATTTATTCTTTTATTTTAATATATTTTAATTAAAATTATATATTAATATATTATTTTTGATTTTTTAAATTTTAATATATATATTAAAAAAAGTAAAAAAAAAAGTAAAAAGTTAACCTGACTAGGTTTGTGTAAAAAAGAAAACAAACGTACTGTTATAGTTGACTCACATTAAACTAGGGTTGGAGAAAGTTTTTAAATGACCTCAAAAATGAGAAATGTATACTTAAGATTTATGTAGCTCATATATGTCCTAGGAACCTTTCTGTGTTCAGCACCCCGGCGTGTGTAAGGAAGACTCCCTCCAGAGTAAGCAGGATGTTCACGCTCTCCACTAAATCTCCTCCTCCAAAGGTGCCCCAGCCTGAGAGGCTGGACGAGGTGTACGAGGCCCTGAAGAGAGGACTGCAGTATGTACACAAATACGTGCATTGTAAATTTGTGGATTTGTCATTACAGTTAATTTAGACAAGTAATACAGTATGTGTTATCAGTTGCTCACACTCACAGAGAGCTATTATAAAACACGATTATGCTCGCACAATACATTATTAGTCACTGACAGTGGCACAGATACTGTCAGCTGATGTACATACTTTTACAGATCCTACCTGCAGGTCCATCAGATGGAGCTGGACAGTCTGAACAGACAAATGAAGGAGTCTAAGAGAAACTCTCGCTTGGTAAGTCTAAACAACAACAACAACAACAAAAATATATATATTCAACCGTGAAGATGTTTCGGGAAGGACTGTTTCATGGTACTAAGCTATTCAAATCTGAGCACTTTCCTGTCTTTTTTTATGTTAATGTTTGATTTGTAATATCTCTGTTGCTCTTTTGTAGGGTTTTTTGTATGAACTTGACAAGGTGAGAGGACGCTTCCTTCTTTTCATCTGACTTTATATTTGGTTTAGAGACTACACTCAAAAAAGCCTAGTACCATCGACTCGTATTTCATGTTATTGAATTGCTGATGCCTGTAAATAATATTTTGAACATTATAAATGTTGTTCTCTGTTCTCTCAGCAAGTGAAAGTAATCGAGAGATTTATGAGACGGCTGGAGTTTCATCTCAGTAAGGTAAGCTTGCTGTTTAACTGAAATGCAAATCATTTGTAAAGCATAGCTATGCAAATATTTTGAATGCACAAGTGGTATAAAACCACGCCAAATTTAATATTCATGAAATTTGTAAAAGTAGGATATAGCTGTATAGTATATATGTAATAGTAAAAATATTTTGTTATAAATATGAAATCAACCTTACAGCACATATTACATTTCAAAGAACTTTGTTTTTTTACTAGATTAAAAAAAAAATTCTTGAAATATTTCTGTGAGCAGACACAGGATGTGCCACTCATGTCAAACAGAGTTGTATGTGTGTTTTGTAGCTCAGCAGGTCTGTTCTTGTTCAGATGTCTCTGTGTTAGTGACTGCTCTTGCGTGGCCCAGTGGCCCCGATAACAGCCTCTGTTCGTTTGTGCACATGCATTCATGCACGTACGTGTCTGCGTCTAAACTGACTTTTTTCCTGATAGATAGTCACCTACAGGATATACAGCAAAGCGTAATCTTCCTTCTCACTGAGGACACATTCTCGGACAGATTTGTTTTTACACACATGGATGCTCACACAAGACAGGGGACACGGGTCACAGGCAGAGGACAGCTTCAGGGTCTGCTCACATTCTTGGCTTGTTTGGGGAGCGGTTAAACCCTCCACTGGACCTGTTGGAGTCTGAACTAACAGCCTAAACTAACCCAAGCCAGCTGCACTACAGGAAGAGGCTTTCCTCTCGATCCTCCTCTTCCTCCCTTCCCTTCACAGCCTCATTTCATGTGTGATTAGTGTGCGTTTTATGAGCGGAGGGCGCTGCAGGGAGTCTCCATGCTTTTGCTGGGTCAGATATGTTGGGCCTCTATTTTAGTGGAGGAGGGGCTAAGTGAGAATGTACCAAAAAATCCCTTAATATTAAGTGACTTTGCTAAGTGGTGCTAACGACAGTCCCAACAAACTTTCAGGTGCTTTGTAGGGATGGTGGTGTTTGTTGTATTGGCTATGGTCTACGACAAATGTGAATGAAGAGGCGTTTTGTTATTAGTTTTGTGTAGCAGTGTGTATTAGCAGAAGAGGCACTTGTCATAACTCTGAAACTTACAACTGTCCCGCTGACTCCCTGCCAGTATGCTGGAACACGCTCACTGGACGGATTTTAACCACCTCCAGATGGACACACTGAGATGAATATTTTCCCTCTCACTTTGTCTTTCGGTTATTGCAGGAAACCTTTTAAGTGCTGCAGACTCTTTCACCCCTGTTCTCGCCTTCAATCTCGAGGATTGTGTGTGTTTGTGTTTCTCGACTTGTGCATTTATGCATATGTGTGAACAACCAGTATACCTACAAGAAAACCTGTGTTCATGAAATTAAAGAAAAATGCTTTATTACTATTTTTCCCTTTTTAGTTTGTTTGTTTGGCTCCAGCATGGTGGCACACAAATATATACAAAATGTTTTAATTTATGGCCTTGCTTTTAATTATAGTAGAAGAGTGTATACATGTTCAGTAATTTCTGACTGACTAAATACTGCCATTCTTTGCAAAGCTTAAACAGTGGTGTTTTTGTGATTGCCCTCAGTTGGGTATTGCTTTTGAATGTCATAATCCTCCTTATACACCTCCCTTCTCCTGCTAAACATTCTTCCAGCGAAGTGAATGGAGCTTTCATACTGTTTGTATGCTTCTCATTCATTCATACTCATTTACAATGGACAGCTCATTCTTTTTCTAATCTCTGAATTACAGGACTCGTGCTGTGAACAATTACCTAATTACTGTTTGTAATGATAGCGTCTCTTATTCTGAACATCTGCCTAAATTTTAGTTGACATAATGTGGAGATTTAACAGTTTCCTGTCTCCATTACTGACTTCCACATTTGCAGACCTGCTCGTGCGGATAGATCAATAAAATCTAAATGACTTATATTGCAGACAATGAGGCCCAGCAGGAAGTACTTGGGCAAGAAAAGATTTAACAACAAGATGGTGTGGCTGGTGCATGTGTGTGCATTATGCAATTAATCAGTCAGTGTCACCATCTGGATGTAGACTAAACTGTGGCTACCTCATTAAGTCATAAAAATACTGAACTTTATTGGAAAATTCAACTTAAGTTGCAGCTGTGTTTTGGGACATGGTAGTTAGTTTGTAGCTGATCTAAGATGGTCATTATTTGGTTGACCAGCCACCATGTTACAAAATCTAGATTGACCATTTTAAACTGGAATGACCTGCTTGTTTCTGATTGAAGGGGCAAAATGTTATTATTCAGTATTTTTTCCAAAAATCTTAATATTCTTAAAACAAAATAAATTTTGATGAGCGAAAATGTGAGATAATAAGAATTGATTTCCATGTAATGACCAGCTAGAAACCAACTAATGTTTCAAAACTCTGCTCAAGATGGGTTTTTCAGGGAATGTTATTGAAGACGTTTGTTATGAACACACATCAATATTGTACATGATTAATATATTTTCATTGATTGTAATAAACACTGGATGTTGCGCGCGTGTGTGTGTACGCAGATTGACGAGCTCTATGAGGCCTACTGTATGCAGCGCAGACTGAGAGACGGAGCCGATAAGATGGTGAAGGCTTACACAGCCTCTCCAGGCAGCAGGGAGGCCAGAGAGAGTCTGTCTGAAGCTAACAAGAGCTTCAAAGAGTACACAGAGGTAAGAGTGTATGGTTAGATATAAAAAATTTTCCTTTCCCTTTGTTTTTAAAAAAAGCTGTATTTTTGTCTTGTTTTCCAGTAGAAATAGCTTATAAATTGAAATATAATAATAATGTAAAAATGTATATGAAAATAAAAATATAATTCTAATTGTTTGTTAATTGATTTTTTGGTGTCTTTTTAATACCTCCACAGATCTTTATGAAGTACGGTCGTCAGCGGTGGAAGCTGCGGGGTCGGATTGAAATCAATGGCAAGCAAGTGTGGGATAGTGAGGAGATGGTCTTCCTCCCCCTTATCACAGAGTTCCTGTCTATAAAGGTAGTTTTTATATGAAAATACATTTACATTCACTCGTATATTGTCATATGTTTTTCACATACTATTCACATACTTTTAGTTTCTGTCTGACCTTCCTGTCACACTCACATGTGCACCACAGTCACATCAGTCTGTGAGAGATTAATGCACATAACAGCACAGCAGCTGGATTTTGACTTGTTTTTCTCTCCCAATGGTTCCATGACACATAACTACACATGAGAGAAAGGGAACATCACTCCAGGACAGAGAGAGAGACAGGCAGGGGGATAGAGACAGGAAGACTGCATGGGATAGAGTTAAGGGAAGTTTACAGAAGACAGTGATATTAAAACAGAGACTCCAGGGGTGGAATGAAGAGAATGCAGCTGATGTTTGTCAAAATGTTTTCGATTGGCCTGAGAGATGTAAAATGTACTGTTGGGTCTGATTCAAAGTGCAGTGTGATTCCATAATTTGAAACCATATGCCCGACCTGAGGATCCAAACTGTCAGCATTTAAAGACAATATGAAATAAAAATTTATCCTATTTATTTTCTGAAACTGTGCCCCTAAACGATGTGTTATTTTGCATGATTATTCTAAAGAATACAATTAATTTTATTATAAAATAAAACAATAATTAAATTTTAACTTTACGTTTAAATAAATTTTAAATAAAAATAATATCATACCCTAACCTGTTTACACACATTCTTCAAAGTTTGGTAAAATCTCAAAGGATAAAATTAAGTTCTACAAACTTCCCAATAAATAACATGTCATTTTAATAAATAACATGTGACATTGTGCTGGTCATTAAACTGATGATGACATTTCCTCCTAAATAAACATCTTGTATGTGGTTGTCAAGGTGACGGAGCTGAAGAGTCTGGCCAATCACGTGGTGGTGGGAAGCGTCTCGTGTGAGACGAAGGACCTGTTCGCTGCCCTGCCCCAAACAGTAGCTGTGGATATCAATGACTTGGGCACCATTAAGCTCAGTCTAGAGGTCCTCTGGAAGTAAGTACAGCAGAGGGATCACATCAAATGTCACCCATTGCCAGATCTTGTAGCTGCATTTTCAGAAGAAAACTGGTGATAAAAATGACTCATTTTATTTTAAATGCACTGTAAACATGAACCCCTCTATCTTTTCTTCTGTAGTCCATTCGACAAAGATGACCAGTCGTCCTCAGCTAGCACTGTGAACAAAGCACCTACTGTCAACAAACGCTTCTCTACCTACAACCAGAGTCCTCCAGACACACCCTCTCTACGAGAACAGGCCTTCTATGTGAGTCTGTCCATGCAGTACATTTACTCTTTTGACTAGCCAGTCCTTTTAAATCCAGATCCCTTGTCCCTTGAATATATACAGTGACCTTTATATTTATATTTATTGCAAACCTGCAATAAATGCTTTTTTTAATACATATTTTTAACCAACAACCTGAATCTACAATGGTTTTTAATCTTTTATAATTTGTATATTTTAATTTTAGAATATATTATATAAAATAACTAACAAATATTTATTAATATAATAATAATAAATATAGTTTCCATAATTTGTACATTTTATTTACTGTCATTTACAGTAGTGAAAGTGAAAAAGTGAGGAAATTACATTTTTAAAAGTGAGCCTCTCCAGGCAGCAGGGAGGCCAGAGAGAGTCTGTCTGAAGCTAACAAGAGCTTCAAAGAGTACACAGAGGTAAGAGTGTATGGTTAGATGAAAGCATGGGTGGAAGAGGAATTATGGACTTTGTCAATAAAGACAAGAACAGAGACAAGATTAGATTAAACAGTGTACGTAGGATTTAAAAGGGTTCAAAACACTTTGTGAACAAAAATTTTCTTCAGTTTAGTGTTTGTGAACTGAATCCACTTCAGAACTGAAATTAACTTCAGCTTGGTGTTAGTAAAGTGAATCCACTTCAGAAATTAAATTAACTTCAGAACTGAAATCTACTTTAGTGTTTGTAACCAATTCAGAATTGACATCCACTTCAGTTTAGTGATGGTAAATTGAATCCACTTAACGTGTTTTTTACAAGGCATGAGGGACTGAAGTTGCGGGTAAACAGTAAAATTATTTATTTTCCAGTGGTAAGATAAACATCGAGAGATTAATATAGAAATAATTTTGCAATATATGGTTCCAGTAAAATCACCACCCTGAAAAATGTGATTGGTTTTATGACATTATCGGGAAGTTGAGACTTACACTTTACTGATTATGGCTTAGGCCACTGTTGTTTTGCATCCGGACCGATGGATACAGGGCAGAGCTAGACTCATTCGATATGCTCATGGATATAATGCAGAGAGGCAATCTGATTAAGAGAGACATCCTTTCCCAGTCAAGTGCTTTTCATTACCCTAATGGTTGCTGCAAGACGCATTCAACTGTAGGATTCCTTATTATTCTCCTCCCTCTCTCTCTGGCTATTACTATTTGCTGAATACTTGACAGTGTATACTATATACTGCCTTTTTTTTTTGAATAAGTGAAGAGTAAGCATTATTCCATGATAAACGGTTCAAACTGTAGTGTGCTACATCGTTGTTTCAACACATTGCATGTTTATTTCTCTCGTGCCTGCCACCTTAGTCTCTTTTCCTCTGTGTATTTATTCTCTGTCTCTGTCCCTGCAGAATATGTGCATGCTGGAGAGTGAGCTGGAGAACCAGCTGGGGGAGTTCCATGTCAAAATGAAGGGTAAGACAGTCTCTCTATACCAGGGTAATGTTCCATTCTAAAGTAATTTTAATTTGTAATTTCCTACAGTTTCATATCACACATCTGCTTTAATTTCTGTTTCATGATCTTAACAGTGTGCCGTATTTAAATAATGATGCATGCCTTTGTTTCAGGCCTGGCGGGTTTTGCACGACTTTGTGCTGGAGATCAGTATGAGGTGAGCTGCTTCTGCTGCTATAATTTACCTTCTCTCTCATTTATAGTCAGCATGAAATCGTATTGTGCACAATTCATCAGTAAAGGTACAACAATACATTTGAGATGCATCGAGATGCTTCTGAGGGTTGATGTTCAGCCTCACAACACTATTGATCAGCTTTGTACTGTTGTCAGCGACAGATATGACAGATAGCGGTGACTGAAGATCTGGCTGGTTTGAACCCCGCTCAGGGCAATCTATGAGCCATAACCATTGTATCCGTAAGCTAGCATTGGATGTAAGCATCCGCTAAATGACTGCTTACGAGAGAGACAGACACTGATTGATCTCGGCATCTGCTCTGTGCGGTGAAGAACAGATTTGGGGAGGCATAGGATAATTAAAGAGGGGCGAATGTTAATGTGTCGGCCCCACCTCCACCTGTTTAACATGCAAGAGCTTTATAGTGACTGACAGGCCAATCAGTGCAGTGAGTCAGCACAGTCTGCTCAGCAAGAGCCCTCTGAGACGTGACAGGAGGGAGGTGGTGTGAAAAAGAACAAGAAATTGACTCGAGAAGATCTAGAAATGGATGAAAGAGTGGGTGGCAGAGACTTGTTTTTTATTTGACCCATCTGTTATTCTCATTCTGTTCATTGCCTGTACTGTGAAAACCCCCCCCCCAAAAAAACACAAAAGCCAAGATTTTCTTTCTCCTCTCCACCTGAATGAATGAAAAAAAAAATCAGTTTAAAGTATTTAAAAAGCTTGTAATTCTGTAAGATATTTTTTAATATAAGAAAAAAAAAACAAAAGTATAGAATATATATATATATATATATATATATATATATATGAATAAAATATTTTCCTTTCCCT